GCAGCACACTTCCCATGGGATTTATTCTAAGGATTAACGAGCGTGCACATGTGGCTAAACCTGACTGTCTTTAGTACGTTGTTGCAGCCACTCCCATACAAACTGACTGCTTATAGAACTAACATTCAAACGTTGGATGCCAGGTTTTCACACGAAGAGAAGAAAGACAAAGGGTGAGGAAGGAAAGGGAGAAGTCTATGGTGCCAACAGGGATGGATGACCATGTGGTTCACTGAACTATTTCCTTACTCTGCCCCCTGAAAGCCGCTAGAGGCAGTGGTATCACGGTAGTGATGAACAATAAACACTGGGGACCACAGTTTTTCAAACGCACGCATTTATTTAAAGGAAACAAGAATATCTTGAGTCATGCTCATTTCCAAGTCTGGGGAGAGGAAAGTCCTAAGTGGTCCTGAAATTTATAGCTCACATCTAACGGAGACCAAGCCTTCCTGCAAACACTACCGGGATCTTTGAATCCCCAGATCTATTAGATCTTCGGGCTAATGCTGCCTGAGGGTTTAGTACATAATCCCAACACCAGAATTGATCTATTGTTACATCCTACTCCCTCCTGGTAGTTCATTCCTTTACCCTAAAGTTTTGCTCTTAGAAGTTCATTTATACTATGTCCATTGTTAATTTTAAAAAAAAGTGTGTGTGTGTGTGTGTGTGTGTGTGTGTGTGTGTGTGTGTGTGAATGCTTCTCCACAAAGGACAAGTTTTGGAGGCCAAAACTCAATGTTGGGTGCCTTTATTGTGCTTCACCTTATCTTTGGAGGCAGGGTCTCTCACCGAACTGGAGATCACTGACTGCTTAGACTAGCTGGCCAGGGGTCTCCAGGAACTGGCTATCTCTGCACTCCCCTCCTGGTCCCACCCAGCAGCACTGGGTTTGTTGGCTGCACTGCCTCACCTGGCTTTTATGTGGGTTCTAGGAAGCCTAAGTCACACCCTCATGCTGGCACCAAGCATTTACTGGCTTAGCATCTCCCTAGCCATAGTTCCTGGGTAATTTTCTAGGTCTGGGGCTCCTGTGTGGGCACCAGGCACCTTTTAGAAGAGCTTCTGATGCTTAGTCTTCAGCAATGGGATAAAGTTTATCAGCAATGGGATAAAGTCCTGGTTTAGCACGCAGGTTAAGGCGCAGGGTGTTCCTGCGAGGCCCTAGCCTGCACACATCATCATCTTTTCGAGGATCCTTCTTTGCTTTCCTGATGACCTCCTAGCCCTCACTCTGGCACACCCTGCATCCCAGGGTTTCTCCCCCGCTGTTGCTCTTCTTTTTTGTCCGTCCCTTTTAAAGATGGGGTTTTCTAGAACCTTGGTCTTCTCTTCTTGCGGCTTTACTTGCCCTCATCCACGACTTTATGCACAATATCCCAGATCCAGCATTTACACTTCGGACAGGCGCTAAGTTCCAAACATATATCTTATCAACCACCTTCTTGCAATCACGGATAGAATAGCCCTCAAACCAGACTTGCTGTTGCTTTTACTCTTCATCCTCAGATTCCCTGTCTTCTGATGTTGCTCACCATGGTTGCGTGCACTGCTAGTCAGCCACCAGTCATGTAGGGAAGACGGTCCTGTCCCTTTCAGCTAAGTCTCCCTGAGTGCTGGGTACTGTTTCCAACCTCTCTGCTATCTTTGGCTCCCATCGTTCCTTCCCAATCTGTTTCTCTGGGCTCCTTTTCCTGGTCTAGACTCCAGACTGATTGCCCAGTCCCGCATCGTTCTCTTCTGTGTTCACTCACTTTGATGAAATGTAATCTGAATGTCACTTTGCAGGAGTGTTTGGTTTCCCCCCATTGCACACTAGGGATTAGGCTCCCCAGATAGCAAGACCTCTCTGATCTAACATTGGCTTGTCCTTGTTTGATTTTTTGGATTGAGGGGGTATTTTGTTTTATTTCACTGATGATCACGTGAGACCCAGACTGACCTTGAAATTCATTATGTAAACAGGGCTACCCTTGAACTCTTGACCCACCCACCTTCACCTCCCCAGTGCTGGTATTATATTCATCCATCATCATGCCTGGCTTAAGACACTGTGTAGCCCAGGCTAGCCTAGAACTCTCAATCTTCTTGCCTCGATCTCCTGAGTGCTGGGATTACAGGTGTGTGCCATCACTCCTGGCCAACATGTCTCTTCCTTCAACTGCCTGCTTCACTATAAGCCATGAGAGGGTCTGTGCTCTCTGCCTGGACAGCATTCCCAGGGGCAAGGACATGATCTGGTACCTAACCAGTTGTCTCTAAATGAGCCCATCACTGCCCCGTCTACCCAACTTCTGACTCGTGGATCCTTTGTCAGTCCCTTTGTGCTTCCAACGACTCCAGCGTCCCCTCCTCTCACGCCACAGTAGCTGCTAGTTACATATCTTGTCACACTTTTTATTCTTGGTTTTACCATACCCGCTGTCTAACCCTGTACTACTATATGTGTTCTATCTATCCATCCATCTATCTATCTACCTATCTATCTATCTATCTATCTATCTATCTATCTATCTACCTACCTATCTATCTATCTATGTCTCTCTCCACCCTCCCTTTCTCTTGGTGTGTTTTGTTTGTTTTGTTTTGTTTTTAAGACAGGGTTTCTCTCTGTAGCCTTGGCTGCCGTGGAACTTGATTTGTAGACCAGGTTGGTCTTGAACTCACAGGGATATGTCTGCCTCTGTCTCCCCAGAGCTGGGATTAAAGGGGTGCACTACCACCACCCAGCACTGTTTCTTTTAAAGAGTGCTGAAAAAATGAGAGGAAAAAATAGATCCATGAAATCGAGCAATATAAACCTGAGACGGAAGAGCATCTATAGGCTCTTCCCATACCCAGCAAGCACAAGCCCTCCTACTGTGCAGACTGAGGACCTGATTTAATGAGTCAAGACTTTGCAGAATGAATCCAAGGAACACCAGATTTAAAGGGCAAGCCAAACAAATTCTGATGACATGACCGCAAAAAAAGCAATCAAGACTCCCTTTTCTAGGCTAGCCTGGGCTACATGGTGAGTCTCAGGCAAGTCCATCTCTCATCAAGGAAATTTCTCTTTACAACAGACAGAGACCATCACAGATAAACATAACCGATCAAAGGCAGAGTTGTGGGGTGCAGCCCCGATGGATAGTCCACAAAACAACTCCAGAGCCCTAAACACTGCAGAAGCAGGGGTGGAAAGATTGGGGAGAATTTGCAGAGATTGTCTCCTAGAAATATCAGAAGCTACACCCAGAAGGGCTCACCAACATGGCTGAAGGGCTCTCTAACAGGCCCGAGCACGGCAAACATGGCATCAACAGATCTTGCCCCTGACCCTTTCCTCTCCCTTTCTAAACTTTTAGATTACATTCCTAAAGCTATCCGCCAAGGCCTATTCCTCTTTTGTTCACTGACCTATTCCCAAGACTGGTCGCCAAGGTCCAGCTATCAAAACACATCAAGGTTCAGTAATTAAAATTCACTACTTTGACCAACCTAATTAACATACCCAACCAGAACTTACCAACACGTCCTAGCGCATTCTAACACAGCCCTCCCTTTTCCCTTCTTAAAACTGACGCTTGCAAAGCTATTTGCTGCCCATTTCTGCCCGACTCAGACTCAGCCACCTTGTCTCTGCCGTGCTTAATAGAAGATCTCTTTGTGTTTGGTTTGTGCTTGGAAAATGGTGTTTGGTGGTCTGTGCCCAAACCAGGGTTCACAGGGGAGCACCCACAGTATGCGGCTCCCTTCAACGACTGTTTAATTGTGACCTGAACAGTGACGACAACAACAATAAATTTGCTGAAGTGTATGGGGTTGGGTGGGAGGACTGGGGAAACCACAAGGCCGCAACACTACACAAAAGACTACAGGCAGCTAAGGGATGCTGAGAGTGGGGGACATGGTCCTCCCCAGGGAGGAGCACATCCACTGTTACCTGATACCAGGTGACCGGCACTGAATACAGACGCAGTAACTTTACACAGATCGAGCAGGTTATATCTAGACATATTCATGTGTATACACGTATGCCTGCAACATCAATCAATGAAAACAGAGGCCATGAATTTGAAAGAACAAGAACGGTTATGGGGGGGTCTAGAAGGAGGAAAGGGAAAGGATGTAATTATATTAAATTTCAAAAGAAACAATGTAAAAAGAAATTGATTTTCAAGAGTCAGCTTTCTCTTTGTGAACATTGTTTTTCTTCAGCTCTCCTCCACATACTCAATGTCCAACCTGCCTACACACTCTGCATTCCGGGCTCTCCCCACTGTTGCTCCCTCTTCTGTCTTCAGTGCATTCATTTAGCTGTTCCTGTCCTGGTATATAATCAACACTTCCTATACAGAACTCAACGCCTTGTTTATTACAGCCATATGACTTGCAAGCTGTGCCAATTATGTCGTATAAGCTACGCAAATTACTTCATATAAATCATGCAAACTACTTCATATAAGAGTAAACATTTCCCTTTAAAGACAATTTATCTTATTCTGCAGTATTTAATGGGTAATCTATTCATTTTAACATTTGTGAGTCAATTCATCCTTTGATTTACATATCAATGTAAAGTCTAGTTCTTAATCTGTAGCCATGTAGGGTTTGCTTGTGGTGGGTGGATATTCCTCCTTTGTGCCAATGGACCACGTACAGGGACCTAGCACAGTTCTCGCAAGCTAAGTCATATGTATCCAAGTTCTCTATCCGGGGCTCTAGCTTATCAGTTTGAAGGTATTTCCTAACAAGATCTGAATCACCTCACACATTGTGAAAGCCAACAACATCTAGAAAGGCCCTATTATAGGGTTGAATTATATAAATATTCATATTTTCAAGGTGACAATTGTATAATAAGAAATGTATTAAGAATAAATAAATACTATTAGTAATTTAAAGAAAAAAAAAAAGATGAACTGGTAGAATACACACAGGCAGTACCTTCCAGACGCGGTACTTACGGAGGTGGGCGGAGCGTGTCGCGTTCGACCCCGCCCTCTGTGGGCGTGGTGTGAGCGGGGCTAGCCGCGCGGACAGGCGCGCCCTGGCCGTTTCCTAGGATACGAAACACACACGGCGCTGGAGCTTCACAAGGGAGCGAACGAGGTAAGCTGCCGGCGCCGGCGGGTAATCCCGAGCAGGCTGCGGGACCCAGCCCGACCTGAGCATCGAAGCCACCCGGCATGTCGCCTCGGCGCTCCGTCCAGCCAGGGCCACTCTCCGCCGGGAGGCGGGACCTGGACGCCGGTACGGGGGGGGGGGGGGGAGGAGGGTCCCAGGGCGGAGCGGCGGGCTGGGGGACTGGAGAACGCGGGCAGAGGACTGGCTCTCGGGGCTCCTTAAGCTTCCCAGGGTCCTTCAGGCTCCCCAGGACTCCTAGGACTCCCCAGAGTTCTCCAGGCTCCCTAGGGCTTTCCAGGACTTGGCGCTATCCTCCCTTAACAAGTCTGCAAAGGCTGAGCTGATGTCGTAGGACCCCTACACATTCTGAGGATATTCTGGATGAGTGGAAACTACTTTTAGGAGTGAGGCGCGGGACTGAATCTGAGGGGAAGCAGAGCCGAGTTCAGATCTCATAAAGTAGAAATGGAGGGAGGAGAAAGAGAAGGTCCAACTCCAGACCTGCTCGGAGCATTCAAGGTTGCAAGCAGGTGGGAGCTGAACTCCTGCACTGAGGGGCGGTCTAGGTGTCCTCTCCAAGCCCAGGAGACCCACCCTCCGGGGTCAGAACCCCCTCCTCCCAACCCCGGTGACATCTGCTCCTAGAGACTTAGCTCATAAGGATTAAAGTGCGCCAAACAAAGACTGCTCTTTATCGCAATTGGGCCTTTAATTTAGGCACAGATGTGAAGCACAGGGACCAATGTCACTACATAATGTCGTTTGTTGTCACTATATCATTTGCTGTAATGGTAAAGGATTCTCATAGAGGTCACCTATTTTAATCAGAACTGGCCTTGTGCAGGATGTTAGAGCTCTCCGGCCGTGGGTTCATTCATTAATTAACTTTTAAACAGTTTGTGAATGTTAGCACAGAGCTGTCTTTGTGGCTTTACAATCTGAGGCAGAATCTTTTCCTGCCTGGTATGGTGGCTCAGTCTATACTAACACCAAGAATTCAAAGCTATCATGAGCTAATAGCCAAATTCAAAGCCGGCCTGGGCTCCATGGGATTCAGGCTGGGGGTGGGGGAATAGTCTTTTCCCGTTACAATAATCCTTCTTTTGATTTCTGTAAATAAGTTTGCCACTTGACTAGTGTGGATTCGTTTTCTTTCTTTTTTTTTTTTAAATTCCTCTATTTTGTTTTTAGCTGATACAAAAATTCTTAAAACACTACGGTTTTGCTTAAAACGTTAATGGTGGCCTTGGAATGTAATGAGAAAGTGTCCTCCTAAGACATATCCTAACCATTTCTGTTGGGTGACTGGCAGGCACATTTTACCCTCCATCTGCCCTCCACACTAATCCTTTTTAATCTTATTTAAATCCCTTATTAGCGAGTAGAGAATTGACAATAACTGTGCATTTGTGTTGTAATTATACAGTTGGATAAAAGTAAATAAGAGAGAATGAATATTGTTACAGTCCTGTGGTTGGAAGTCTAAATGAATGTCCCTTTTAATGTCAGCATGGAATACGTGTTTAACCTGCAGGAGGGTCGATGAATGTTATGTCTGAACTGTTGAAAATTCAGAGTCCTTAACAACTGTGTTACATTCATAGATTTAGAGCAGCAATGTTGCATGTGAGATGAAGACCCATGGGCAGGGAGCTGTGCTTTTACTTAAATTAGATATACTGCTTTTTTGAGTCGTAATCAGTTCAGGGCCTTGCTGTGCTCCGCTGGTAAAAAGTAGCTGTTGGTATGCAGCCAGCAAGGCGGTGCATGGAAATATTGATTTCTACCTTTAGGGATGGGAACATGCTTGCCCCACACCACACAAGCATGAGGTTCTGAGTTCAGTCTACGGAATTAATGTGAGAAGAAAAAAATACCAGACACACACACACTTGTAGTTTCAAGGGCAAAGACAGATGAATCTCACTGGTCATCTAGCCTCACCAAGTTGGCAAGTCCCTGGCCAGTGAGAGATGCCATCTCAGAACAGGGTGAGCAGCATCCAGAAGGACACAGGGGCTGACCTCTGGCCTACGCACACGCCTTCTATTGTGCCATTGTCTCTCTATCTTCAGAGGATGGGAGGAATGGGAAACACTTTCCAGCCCTGAAGACCCGCTTGTTTTATAATTGCCATGACTCGGGAAGAAAGCCTTGCTAAAGAGCTTTTGTTTTTTGTGTCCTAGGAAGTCTAGGACACGAGCATGTTTTACCTAAAGAGTGGGTGAGGTTTGAAATGGATGGATTCTCACAAATCTGACCTTTTCAATATCTAGTGGCATCCACATGCTCTTCACTTCATCCCAAACACATCACCAGGAAATGACTGTGGTCCCTGCTGACTAGTCCTTAGCTCTAACCATAGCCCCTGCTGCCATTGTCCCCAAAACAGACTTTTCATTTCCATTGTTTATTCAGAGGTTGATTAGTCTGCCTTAAAAATGAAACTTCTAGAATAGCCTTTTCAAAACGGTTTAGCTTCCAGAGCAAGGCAGAGAGTCATCGTTGACTGGGTGGTCTGTTTGCTATGAGTACTGGGCGCAGAGAGGCAGGGTGGCCCTCCCCTTCAGGGTGGTGCTGATGGTGGTTGATGGGCCCCGCAGTGGAAGGATGAGGAGCGGTCAGCTCATCTTCTAGGTTGGGAAGTGGATGCAAAGTGGTCTTTGCTCCTTATTCAGGTACCCTCTTACCTTCTGTTTCTACTTCCTGTATACCACCCACCCCAAGCCCACCCTCTCCCCTCCACTTTGCTTACCAGTGTTGCCTCTTGCATTCTCTCCTAAAACAGTGTAGACGTTTGCGGGAGCCTGACTCTCCTCTTCCATGCTCTCCATGCTTGGTGCATGGTCAGCTATTATCAGGAGAATAATTGAGCTAAAGGATGTCGTCACCATGCCATTGTATCCGTGTGTACGGTGTGTGCACAGGCTAGAGAAGAAGGCAGGTGTCCTGCTCTGTCACTTTCCACATGACACACGGTTTCCCAACTGAATGTGGACAAGGCTGGCCGCCAGGATCCACCAGGCATCCTCCTGTCTCTGTCTCCCAAAGCTGTGGGGTCACAGGCACATGGGACCACACCCAGTTTTCCCTGTGCTTGTTAGGGAGCCAGACTCAGGTCCTCAGGGCCCCCCAGGCCTTGTTCTTACTCACTGAGCCGTTTCTCCAGTTCCCACACTGGCATATTTCAGAATTATATTTTGAAATTTAGAATTTTAAGATTTACTTCTTTTATCATATGTGTATGAGGAGTTTGCTTGCATGTATGTCTGTGTCCTGTGTATCCTGTAACTGGAGCTGTGAACTGATATGCCAGGTGCTGGGACTCAAACTGGGGTCCCCTGCAGGAGCGGTGAATGCTTTTAGTCACTGAGTCACCTCTCTGGCGTCAGAATTACGTTATTTTTATGGCAATGCTTCATGTAGATTTTTCTGCCTTAATCGTCCAGGTCCTAGTGTCTCACACTTCCTTTCTCGTCGCTGCTTCAAAGGCCTTTCTAGTGTCGTTCCAGAAATCAGGATGATCCAGGTGCAGCTCCAGATTTCAGGGTGGGGGGTGACTGGTACCGCAGACCCCTGTCCACTGACAGCCACAGGCCCCTGTCCCCTGACAGCCACAGGCCCCTGTGCCCTGACAGCCACAGGCTCCTGTCCCCTGACAGCCACAGGCCCCTGTCCACTGTCCACTGACAGCCACAGGCCCCTGTCCACTGACAGCCACAGGTCCCTGTCCACTGACACAGGCCCCTGTCCACTGACAGCCACAGGTCCCTGTCCACTGACAGCCACAGGCCTCTGTCCACTGACAGCCACAGACCCCTGTCCACTGACAGCCACAGACCCCTGTCCACTGACAGCCATAGGCCCCTGTCCACTGACACAGGCCCCTGTC